AGTAAAAAAAACTCACGTACTGTATAATATACACCCCAAATCTGTCCTCCTCCAGTTTCAGAGCGTTACAGAAAGATAAATTCCGCCGCGCCGCTTGAATGCATACTGTGCCGTTATAACCCAGGGGCTTAGTAGATACTCGACGTAAATATTACAGAATGTGAGCAACCCGGCTACGACGGTGATTAAGTCGTATAGTGCTCGTTTAATACGTGCTCGGCGCTAAAGGAAAACATTCTGAGGAAACCTGACAAATATCTATTCTGAGGTAATCTGAAGAATATAATACTTCGTTGACATATAAAGTTTGCCAACACGAAGTTAAAGTAGTTACAATTAGTGTTAAAGTTCATCTAAGAAGTTGAGTTTATAAATATAAAGTCGTAGCAACGAGACGCACTTATTCATGTTTTATAAGATCTACGTTGAATTGATACAGACCAAATGTATAAGTGAGTAGTAATTGATATTTTAAGCATTGTGTAAAGTATATAAAAGTGATTTTCCATATAATTCATGCACAATGTCTACCTTTGTTCAGTACACAACTTTCTTATAACTTATAAAATTCCGAACTTAAATTAGTTTTGTAGCAGAAAAAGCGTATTTTTAAAAGCATTCAAGGCGAGCCATCCTAACAATTTTGGTGTCAGAAGTAGGATATCCTGAGAACAGTTAAAGTACTGGGATTCTCAGGTGTTAGGCGCGTCGCAATACAGAATTCCCGCCCAATACTTATTCTTGGCTCCGTAAACCTCAGCGTTCATCACCGCGGTCCTTGGATAAGGTGCCAGCTGTCGACGGTTAAATCAAGATTCAAAGCACTTGTTTCGTCGTTTTCTCTAATAGTTCACACGCGTAGACACCTAATTCACAAAATCGCATCAATTTTACGAATCAAAATCCATTTTAAACCAAAGTCTTGGCTGTATGTGCCTAAATCCACACAGTTGGATTTGTAGTCGACGATAAGCCTCCACTTTCGAGTGTGAGCCCACTTCACAAGCCCTTGCACCATCGGATCATCGGACAGTTTGACTCGCCACCAACACCAGACCTTGCATCATCATCACCATCACCACGTATAAAGTTTTATTCTATGGATCGTAACGCACAACGCTTCCGGACACATAATCGTACGAAAAAAGGTCTAAAATGGTCTCTTATTCCGTCGCAGTATGCGTCAGCGGCGATGGGCAAGCGCGGTGAAGTGGGGAGCGGGTATTCCGCAATGCGCGGCGTCATTCTCGTTGCGACGCTGCGGTGTGCGTTATACTGGTTGACAATGGATTTGTTTGAAGATAATTTAATAGAATTAATGCTTTTTTGTCTTTTCTGAAGCAGTAGAAATTCTTCTTCGTCCTCCTTCTCAAGTAAAGCACAAATTTCAAAAATATTGTTCATGTTGACACTTCTGCTTTTAAACTGCGGCAAAACTAACTGACCACTTCTCCGCAGAGATGCTAAACGCTGCGTTGTGATGCTGCGTTTCAGCCGCATACCGCAGCGTTGTGCGTTACGGTCAAGAGACCATCTGTTAAAAACCCTCTTTACATTTCGGCGTTACGCGAATTTAGGTATTTAACGCTCCGAGCGGACCACGACCTACGCGAGCGATACTTTATTTCATATTATCTATTCACTCGCTCGCACTATGATACTGTGAGTATAGCGACTAAACGATCTTGATCTTTCATTATACAAGTTTTGTTATGATGGAGTTGAGGACGGAAAATTTTTGGTGTCATTTTTATGTTATCTAATTAATTTATTATAATCTGTTTGATATATTTTTCATTATTTATGAACCTTAGTATTGAAATAAGTACACATAAATATTTTATTTCACAGTAATCGATTGTGAACTGATGTTGGTTAATAATCGATTATATCTACTAACGGTAGCATAGTGGTATAAATAGATAAATAGTACGGTTGCAACCTGTTTTAATAAATAAAATAACCAACTGTAAATAATATTTTTTAATCGGTACTTACAGTCAATTACCATATTTTTATTATAAAAATATTTGCCGCAATGGAATTGACCGAGCTTATCTCGAGGCAATAATTTCAAGCAGTACACACTTTTTTATTTAATAAAACGCTTGTATCTTGGGTAACATATTCAAAATCCAAAATTCGTCTTCTTTGTAGATTTATACGACGACTTACGCGAGCAATACTTTATTTCATACTATCTATTCACTCGCTCGCACTTTGATACTGTGAGTATAGCGACTAAACGACCTTGATCTTTCATTGTACAAGTTTTGTTAGGATGGAGTTCAGAGGATGGAAAATTTTTGGTGTGTCATTTTAATGTTATCTAATTAATTTATTATAATCCATTTCACATATTTTTCATTATTTATGAACCTTAGTGTTGAAATAATTCATCATCATCATTACAACCCTTCACAAGTCACTGCTGAACATAGGCCTCCCCCAAGGTATGGCACAAAGCACGGTCCTGAGCCACCTGCATCCATGGACTTCCTGCATGTCTTACCAGGTCGTCACTCCATCTAGTGGGGGGTCGCCCTACACTACGTTAAAATAATTACTTACACATAAATATTTTAACTGTTTCACAGTAATCGATTGTTAATCGATGTTGGTTAATAATCGAACATATCTACTAACGGTAGCATAGTGGTATAAATGAATAAATAGTACGGTTGCAACGTGTTTTAATAAATAAAATAACCAATTGTAACTAATATTCTTTTATCGGTACTTACAGTCAATTACCATATTTTTTATTACAAAATATTTTCCGCAACGGCATAGACCGAGCTTATCTCCAGTTAATAATTTCAACAAGTACACACTTTTTATAAAACGCTAGTAACTTGAGTTAATTTGCTTTTAAATTGGAGTAATATCCAAAATCCAAAATTTGTCGTCTTTGTAGTTTTTTAGTACTTTTACTGTATAAAGTAAATACTTCCAACGATCAAAAACTGCGATCGTAGTTGAGTTCTATTTCGGAACACAGGCCAAAATAGCAGCGCCTATAACGGCAATCGACCAACACTACGGTCGAAACGAGACGGTGTGCTTTAAATAAACTGACACAGAAAAAGCCTTCAAGAAAAGCCTACTCCTTTTTAAAAGGCCGGCAACGCATCTGCAAGTCCCCTGGTGTAGCAGTTGTTCATGGGCGGCGGTAATCACTTACCATCAGGTGAGCCGTATGATCCACGGCGTTGACAGCTAGAACATTTTTTTAAAACTTATGAGTTTGGAGGGCACTCTTAAAGCGGGCTACATACGACACGATATCGGTGGCGATCTAGGGTGGAGTAGTGGGGATGCCTCCTAGATTGCCTCTAAATCGTGTCGTATGTAGGGCCATCCTAAGTCGTGGCCGATATCGCCTCCTTAATCGGCTGGCAGGAGCAAAAATGCTTCCTAGATCAGCCGATGCTTCCTAGATCGGGGCACCGACCCCTCCTTACTGAGTGTGTGTAGGCGCATCGGCCCGATTTCTTTAGGCAGCCGCTGCCGGCAACCCTCGCGAAAGGAAGTTAACAAAACAGTGATACTGAATGACCTTTTTTATATAACAAAATTTTTACATTTTAATCATATAAACGGAGTAGAAGCCTATGGCACTGATATTTTACAAAAAACCAAAAAAAAAGTGAACAAAAATATATAAATTAATTGAAATTTTATCGAAATTCAAATCATATCCACCCTAGCCTGTGACCCTGCGAAGTGACATGGTCAAGAATGCCTACTAAACTAATTTTTTTATTGCCGTTCGTAAAGTAGAGTGTATGATGTAAGTAAGGAGAAGATAAAGCCTCTCCTCAACAACTAACTCCTATTCCAACGCTATCAACACAAGACCGCACTCATATCTCTTACAACTCCACAAGACCACACTTCGATCTCTTACGTGCCTTCATCATCTTATCAACAACTAACTTCTACTCCTTCACCATCTCCACATCAACAAACAAGTTATATAAAAGGGAGTATGTCCGAAATTAAAGGTTTATTTATGTTTAAAAAAAGATATAAGCTATTTTATTTTCTGATAGTTTTACTCCATAAATAAAGATTACATTAAAAAAAAAAGTATACATATTATTATACAAAAGTATTTTATTTCCTTGTTTGTTGTGTGTATACATAACCAGATTTTGATCAAAGCAGAAATGAACAAAGAGAAGAAATAACCAAATAGCATAGGTAGGAGAAATTGACGTTTTTATATAAGTGGCGAAATCATTTCTAGAAGGTTATAAAAACTGTCTTCATCCATCCGTCCGGAGAAAATTAATCACGTCCTTGGATTACAGGCCATTTAGTACGTTTATGTGGCTTAATTTTCATTTTTTTTGGAGCCATTTTTTCACCCAGCAACTCCTCTTTTTCTATTTTCGAATAAATTTACCGAGAGGGCTAATGCCAAACCAATACATTGGTGTTTTAAGAGAGTTGAAGCTATTTTGAAGAACTCTACCGCATATGTGTTCCGCTCCAAGTCCGAACGCGTACTGCTAGGCAGGCCCGTGTGTAGGGTCTGCCCCGATAAAAGCCCCGATTTCTTTCCACCCTAGATCGCCACCGATATCGTCTCGTGTGTAGCCCGTTTAAATCAACACTTGGTGGCGCCACAGACTTCCTATTTTGACAAATGTCATAGTTAAATGTTGACACTTGAAAGTAGCAATCTTTTTTTACAAATCGCTGTCGATTCGTAAGACTCGTACACGTTTCTGTATTTTTTTGGTTACTGCTCTACAAATTCACTAGCAACGTTGAGTTGAGCTTCAGTTCCTCCGTTATCTCGTCGAATCTTTGTGGTGCTGTTGATTCAGTGACTTATAAGAGACAGGACTCATTTTAGAGATAGAACTCATATTTTTTGGTGTTATTATCTACTAGTGCCGTAGGGTTAAATAATGCATATTACCGTGTGTTGTGTCAACTCTTGTCTTGCCAAGGATATAGTAATGTTTTACTTTCCTCGAGACAAAAACATGCAAAGCCTTTGGCTTTCTTATGTCGCTCCTCATAGCCCTAAACTTCTTGAACTGTCATCGAAACAATTAGCCAAAAAGAAGATTTGTATCAGGCATTTCGAACATCAATATCTTGATGGCTTCACGAGGAAATACCACGGTTATCCTACTCTACTGACTGAAGAAGAAATAGCTTGTGGAGTATCCAGTAAGTACGAAAATATCTTTCCCATTTAGAGCCAAATTTAGAAATATATTTGATAAAGACTGAATTATACCCGAGGCAGTGGTTTAAATTATTTATCAATGCAATATTAACCATGAGAGTAGAGTTTGAAGAAAATATGATACTAAATATGTATATTGCATGTTCTTATGCAAAATTTTTTTTTGGTTTTATAATCACTGTTTTAAAAGCTATCTTATATTACAAAATAGCTAAAGTGATATTTATTTCAGGTCAATCCATCACTGACTATTATGATCATACTTACTGTAAAAGAAGGCAAGGTATGGAAGAAGCAGCTCCTGAAATAATTAAAAAGCCAAAATATAGTAAAGAATACATGCTGGGTAAATATTTTTTTTAATATTAGCTTGATATATATTATGTACACATCACACATATGTTTACCTTGAACAAATTGTCCGATTAAGTAAGTCCAACTTTAACCTAGACATCAATCAACAGATCCAACTCAGCTGGGCAGCGTGTGAAGATTGACACATCTTGTCATATATACCTCAAAACTTGAAAACGAGATTATACAACCAGTGCATAATGCCATTGATAACATATGGATCTGAGATGTGGTCCTTCATCGCTGGGCACATTAGCTCAAGGTCACTTAATGATCTATAGAGAGTTCTAATGATGATATATTATTTTTATTATAAATTGCTATATTTAATAAGTATAATATTAATATTAGGAACACACATAGCACATTCAGGTGCAAGATGTTTTTTCCACCTGGATTAATACAGCGGCTGTTGTACAATAAGGTGGTGTGTATAGTTTAGTTTAGTTTGCAACGGGCTGTTTTCCGCAACTCCACGTCTCTGCGCGTATTTTGCGTGTGGGCAGGAATAATGTGATTATTCGAGCCATGAGATCTCCCCCGAAGAAGCTCAACAGTCCCTTGATGTTGCATGCAACTTCGGGGAGTGATCCCGGCGTGCCGAGATGTTTAGCCCTGTACGTAGCGACCTCCGGACATTTCAGTAGCACGTGGGCCGCCGTTTCTTCCTCCCCCATACATGCCCTGCACAGGGGACTATCTGTAACACCTATAGTAAATAAATGTTTGTTAAAGGTGCCATGTCCTGTGATAGCACTAGTTACTATCCTGATCTGCGGCTTGTTCAGTCTCATTAGAACTTTGGTTAAGCGACTGTTTATTACAGGTAGGGCCTCCCTAGCTTGTCTACAGTCTATTAGATTTTTCCAAAGCTGAGCGTGTTGATTAGTGAAGTGTCTACGTACCATTGAACGAACGTTACCAAAGGGGATTGGTATGATTGGTTCCGGCCCTATAGTGGCCAGAGCCGATCCTCTTCTGGCCAGTTCGTCCGCTGCATCGTTGCCTCTGGATCCACTGTGTCCCTTTATCCATTGTAGAGTCACATTGTTGTTTTTACATACCTCATTTAATCGTTGATGGCATTCATATATTAGTCCCGAGTTCACCCCATTGCAACTCAGAGCTTGTAGTACCGCCCTACTGTCGGTCAGTATTCTGATGGGGAAGTCATTAACCTTCCTAGCATCTATTGCTATGGCCGCTTGAATGATACCCATACATTCCGCCTGAAAGACCGTGTTATAGGTACCCAGCGGTGTGCATATGTGAATATCGAGGTCTTCAGAGAAGGCTCCAGAACCTACACCTTCCTTTGTTTTAGAACCAACTCCAAAGATTTAGGGTCTTGAGTCTGATGGCAGCTAAAGTCGCTTCTTGTTGTATATGTAGATGAAGCGGAGTTAGCTCCAGCATCGCTTCCAAGGCTGCTGTTGGCGTAGTTCTTATGCAGCCTGTGGCAGCCATACATGCCAGTCTCTGGTAGCGCTGAAGCTTCTTAATTGTGGTGGCTTCATTGGTCTTGGTCCACCATACCAGAGCGCCGTATGTGATCATGGGCCGGATTACAGTTTTGTAAAGCCACAGTATGATTTTTGGCGTCAGTCCCCATCTTTTGCCAATCATGTTTCTGCATTGCCAGAAAGTTATACTAGCTTTGTTGATTTTGTTTTCTATGTTTTTATTCCAGTTAAGTTTGCTGTCCAAGGTAAGACCTAAATATTTTACCTCAGAGGATAGCTGGAGTTTTGTGCTGAAAAGACTTGGAAGATGATAGTTACTCAGCATCCGTTTTTGTGTGAACATTACTAAAACCGTTTTATTTGGGTTGACGGTTAAGTCGTATTCCCTGCACCATCTCTCCACTATACGGAGAGCCGCTTGGGTCAGGTCGCACACTATGCTAGCTGTCTTTCCCGAGACCAGTATAGTCAGGTCATCAGCATAACCTACTGTATAAAAGTGATTAGTATTTAATTAGGTGGTGTGTATATCACTTGGTTTTATATATATTTTCATCCATTTTTGTACACTCCCCTGGATTTTTTTTTCTTAAAAAATTTAAAAAGTTTAAAGATTTTAACTATTTTTTGCATCAGTCCTCTATGCAAAGGTCGTCTGGGAGAGATCACTTTCAGAGTGACAAGAACGCTTGTTGTTCATATTATACTTTAGATTGAACTCTACTCATTTTCCTGTATTTTGGTATACAATTAAAAATAAAAATAAAGTTATAAAGTAATTATTTTAATTGCAGTTAATTTAGATGATTCACAAAATAGTAAAAGAGAAAATACTGGAGAGACTTCTGTGTCAGATGACATCACCATGTTGTCAAAGCCATCAACTTCTCAGCAAAGTTATGATGTCCCCATTTCACGAAAGCCATCGACAATTCAACACAGTAAGTTTATTTTAAATTAATGTAATGTTAAATGTTTATACATAATTTCATACTTTATTTTCCACTATGATCACAAAATACCTGAGCATCATAGTGATCTTTCTTTATACCAGATTGTAAAATAAGAGTCATATTAATTGTAATTTAACATGTAGTTTCCTAGTGTTAATGTTTTTACATACATGTGTACTTTTTTATAGTCAAAAGTTAGAACAATGCCAACAGTTAAATAAAAATATTTATTTTATATGAACCATTTGTAATACTGATTACAATATCACTCATACATATTTTTTTCCAGGTGATAAAAACAAATGTATTAAGCTTGTAAAAAGTAGACCTCGACTTGTAACCAATATTAACAACATAACTCCAAGATGTCGAAGGTTGTACTTTAAGTGTAAAGATATGATTAAAAGAAAGAGATTGTTTACAAGTAATGAAGATAACAAACAAAACATTGCTCATGCAGAAATTCTTAGAAATACCAAAAGTTTTAGAAAATTAATAGAAAGTTAGATTTCTTCCCAAAACAGTTTATAGCATTGCAGCTGAGGTTTGCTGGTAAAGCTTCAAAAGGAAGAAGGTATAATATTGATAAAAATTAATGAGCATTGCGCTGTATAAACAGAGCCCTAAGGGGTATTCCCTTCTACAAAAATTATTCTCTTTACCAACCAAAAGAACTCTGAATAGAGTTTTACAAAATATTAAATTTGGAGAAGGTATAAATGAAAACTTTTTTGCAATTTTAAAACAAAAAATCAAAACATTGAGTAATGCAAAAAAACTGTGCAGCATTGTTTTTGATGAAGTTCAGTTATCTGCACATTTGAATTTTGTTGCAAGCAATGATGAAATTGAGGGGTTTGTAAAAGCAGATGGGCCCCCAAAATTTGTTGACCATGCTTTGGTAGTGATGCTCAGAGGTATTTGTGCATCATGGCGACAACCAGTCGCTTACTATTTTTGCCAAGGAATTACACCAGCAGCTACTTTGAAACATATTTTAAAGGATATGGTTAAGATAGTAATCGAATCTGGATTAAAGCCTTTAGCCTTCATTTGTGACCAGGGAGCTACATCACAGCGTGCTCTTAAAGATCTTCAAGAAGAGACTAAGAGACACTGTTTTCAAAATAATATAAAATTTGGTAAGCTTAAAAAATAATATTAAATACATATAATATATTTTTTTTTTAGGATAGGGTGACAAACGAGCACACAGTCCACCTGAAGGTAAGTGGCTACTGTGGCCCATAGACATCTACATTTATCCTTATTTGTGAATCAAAATGCAGATGCGTTGTCACCCGTGAGGACTAAGATGGAATGCCTCTTTTCCAGTAAAAAGGGTCTCCGGTTCTCTACACTCACCATACGAAACACAGCAGTGTTAAGCTGCTATTTTACGCTGGTATTTTGTGAGAGCGTGGTCCTTCCCCGGTCGAGCCAACCCATTCGTGCTACAACTATACTACTAATATAACTGCAGCATGGCTCTACCACATATAATAATGTACCTAGTATTATGTCGATTCCTACTTTAAAATGGGTTAAATTAAACTTTTGAGCACTGAAGGTTTTGGTTTTGAGACCAAAGGTTCTGAAAACATTTTAATGAGTGGAAGCTAAAATGCACAACTCCTATAAAGTCTTCGAGTTGAGCACTTCACCTATTTTTCTCTCTCTAAAATTATAAACCTTGTAAAAATAATATCCCATCATTGTAATGAAATATTTTTTTATAGATGGTAGTATCCTAATTGGGGGAAGTAACTTAAGTGTGATCTATGATCCTCCACACTTAATAAAAGGCCTACGCAACAACATGTTGAATAAGAATTTAATTTTTGAGGAAAAATTAACAAAATGGGAAGACATTGTAGATGTTTACAACTATGACTGTAAATTGGGAAATATACGAATGCTCCCAAAATTGTCAGATGAGCATGTTATACCAGAAAAAATAAAGAAGATGAAAGTTAAGAACTGCACTCAAGTCTTCAGTGAATGTGTAGCTGCCACAATGCAGTATACAGCAACTTTTTGTAAGTTAACTACTGCCTATTTTTTCAATAAGGATAACTATTCATATTTTAACTATGGTAGTCTATTAAAGTGTTTTTGGCGAGTTCATCACACACAGTCCACCTGATGGTAAGTGGTTTCTGTGGCCCATAGACATCTACATTTATCCTCGATTACGAATCAAAATGCAGATGTGTTGTCACTCGTGAGGACTAAGATGGAATGGCTTGTTTCCAGTAAGAAGGGTCTCAGGTTCACTACACTCACCATACGAAACACAGCAGCATTAAGCTGCTATTTTACGCTGGTATTCTGTGTTCTTCCCCAGTCGAGCCGACCCATTCGTGTTACAACTATACCAGAAATATAGCTGCAGCATGGCTCTACCACGTATAAAAGGTAAAAAAGGTGGTTTTCTAGTTTTCTATATGCTAGAGTTGCATCAAGAATTTCATCCTTTAAACAAATCAAATACTTTATTTGCTATTGGTGTAAAGGTTTTAGGATAGTTATATTATGTACTTACAACTAAATGGACTTTATCAGGCATTCTAAACTTAAGGGAATTGTATTAGACAAGATATAAGTAGAAAACAAATTCTTTGTACAACTATTTAAATATAATATAGTTAAATAAAAAAAAAATTAAAATGTCACAGAGTAAAGTTCTACTTAACTTAATAAAATAATGTCAATGGGATTCTCAAATATTACTAGATTAAAATATATTAATAAATATAACTAAATTTAGATTAATATTTTCTATCATTCCATAAAACAAATGTCATAATGTAAAATTTTAATTTAATACAATCATAATGTCAACAAACTTAATATTCACCCACAGAATAGAAACATTTTTGAAGGAGAAAGGTTTCAGTTTTTTATTAAATAGTTTTGCTTTTCTGTGTGTTTATTTGTACCAAGAAATTACATATTATGGATCTTAAAGTTGTCTTTTGATGAAATGTACTCTGCTACGATAAATTAATAAATGATCTTAATTGATGGCCATTTGCTGGATGATTATTTAATCTATGAATATGTTTTTAATTATTGACAAACAAGTGCACAGCTCATCTGATAGTAAGTGGATAGATAAGTTGTAATTCATAAAAATAATAAGTGTCCAGCAGGCCTTATTATATTAGTAGGTATTTACAAATTATTTTATTATTTTTATGCTTGATGCTGATATATTTTTTGTAGACAATCCTTGAAATTGTGAGTTTCTTATACTTTGGTCAATGTATAACATTATGGGCTACCATGTAAAAAGCGATTAATGGAATATTGTGTTTGTGATTGTGTATGCGTAAGGCTAACTTTATGTCCTTTTTTAATTTCCTATGTCACATCCACAACTAAGACAAATCTGATGATACCCAAATGTTAAAATCCATCAAGCTGTTTGGGCTACAGTATGATCCCATCAATGCCCATCATATTGTTTATCATATAACTTTTGATAGTTTAGTTTTTACTTCTTCTCTGTGAGATTTGCAGTCTATGAATGTGTGTTTGTGGCAATTTAAATAACTCAACTGTCTCTAAAGATGAACTTTGGGGTTTAATGTTCATTTGGAGTTGGAAAGATTTAAATAAAATGTAAATTGATTTTTCTTGTTTAGTTATTATTAATTTCATAAAAATTTATTTTGTAATAAACATGAGTAAAGAATGCCTGTTACATGTAAGTAAAAATACATCATGTAAAAGTAATTCTAATTTCATGTTTTTTGTTCCAGCTCAGCGACATGACGGAACACAAATCAGTGAAACAACAAAAAATACAGCTGCAGCAGTTGCTTTCTTTGACCAATTGTTCGACAGTTGCAATGGTTCGAGGTCTGGTAGGGCTCCAGGAAAAATACGAGGTCCAGTCAAACTGAATAGTGCCCACAAAGCATTTTGGATTGAAGCCATTAAGAAGTTTAAAAAAAATGCATTTCATTCCAAAAAATTCTTTAGAAAAAGCTACAATAAAAAATGTACCAACATTAAACAATTGGGTTACAACACTAGAAAGCCTAATAAGAGTAAGTGAAATAATGCAATCGGAGGGGGGTCAGTTTCTTTTACACGAGAAACCTAAATCAAGACCCCCTTGAAAATTTCTTTGGCAAAATAAGAGCATATAATTATAGATATACCAACCCCGATACATTTTCGTTCCGAAACTCTTTTAAGTCATTATTAATGACGGACATGCTGGCCATCCACACAAAAAATTTTAATTGTGAAGATGATATGGGGGAGACCATATTAAACATAACTTTATTGAATGAGGAATTTGCTTCAGATGAACAACCAGTTCCCGATAGTAATGATAATAGAAACCTTAGTTGTTCATCTGAAGTAAATTTATCAGGAAATATGGTCTCCTCCATATTTGAAGAAAAAATAAATGTAAATGCGAGGAGTTACACTTCAGGATATATTATAAGAAAACTGTGTCAAAATAAATGTAAAAATTGCAAAAAAAACATTTTTAAATAATGAGGATCAGCAGCTTAGTGTCCATGATTTAATTAGACACAGAGAACGAAAGCACCTTAAAGGGAAAAATCTTATGTACCCTAGTACAAGATTTATTGTAGTATTTTCAAAATTAGTTGATTTAAGTAATGTGGTATTAAATAATACTTGCCACAAAGGAAATATTATTAAAAATATATCCGAAAAATTTATTACTCAAAATAATTTGGAATGGATAGGCTGCCAAGAGCACCATGACAAAATCAAAAAAAAAAATTTTACTTCTTGGGAAATCCAAATATTTCACTGGTGCCGAACAATAAACAGAATATTGAATGGATCGCATTGTGTAATTAATTTTAACGATGCACCATATATTCAAAAAATAGCGCATATAAAATGGTTAAAACAAAGAAAATATAAAAAATGAAACTTGCAAATATGTTTTTTTTTTAATTCCTTTCCCTTATTAATATAACTAATAAAGAATAATGAAAATAAAAGAAATCGATAAACTCAATTCACATCCCTATCGCTGCAAAATCTATCGATATCATGGATAATCTATACACCCCAACACTAACAAGGTAGCCATCTAGCGGGAAAAAGCTTGCCCTCCAAACTCGCTACGGCGACGTACTGTCCTATCTGTCTTGTACATACAACTTTATAATTTGTGGTATGATCGTTTGCCCCTCCTATAAAAAACACAGGCTTAAACTCGACAAGCGCTCACGCGGTAGTGAATTCAGTAGAGAAATATATGGTACTTTTATTTATTTAATTAAAAATAATAGTACCGATTTAACAAGTAAAAATCATAGTATAGTTAAAGCATATGTTGATGATTATTATGGTATAAATTTAACATCAAAATTATGTAGAACTTCGGAGAATTATATTGGGGCTTGTATTGAAGCTTTTTCGGTCGTTAACTGAATTATGTCGATGTTTTTTTTTTCCTTACGTGAAATAAATATAACGAAAATGTATTTTATCATTATTAAAGTATAAGATATTTAAAAGATAAAAATATTTTTAATGGTCGACATTCAATAGAATCTACAAATTAGAGCTCCCAAATCATGCCTCCCAGAGTTTTGGCCTAAACATGCATCTGGAGAATGATTATTACTAAATAAATAAATAAGTTATCTAAATTGGCTTTGAGCTTAATGTGGTAGAGGCACAGATTACCTCATAATAGATACCGCATCATGGAATATTTGTTCTGTTTCGATTTCACCAAATTTCGGGTTGCGGGGGACGTGTCAAATGCGCTGTGATTGGAAAATTCAAGGGTGAACTTCGAATGCTCCGAACCATAGTGATGGGACAGGCTGGGACGTTGATCGATAAATTTGGGATTTATTGATTATTGATAAATAAATGAATTGATCAATTTTTATTTGATTTATTAAAAAATAAAACAGTGTATATAAATAAAAGAATTTATATATATATATATATATATATATATATATATATATTATTGTACATGTAATCTAATGATTTCTTAAATTTACGCGAACACTACACATTAAATACAACTATATAATTATATGGATTTTATCGCGTTTAATTAATTGTCACGGGGGGGGACTTAAATGTTTGACATCTCAATATCATAGTTAGTCCGGCTATCTTCACTTTTTGAATATAGATTTTTGGTCCCGATCTACATAAAACCAGCTTACAGTATCATGAAGTCTTGCAGTGGTATGCTTGGTTTTGGATAGATTTTGTTAATTATAGGATGCCAAGCAGATGGCAGCACCCATCCACCGACTGTGGCCGGCTTCACTCGGTCGCTGTGACGTAGGCTTGTGACCCAAAGCTTGTCTTGCAATACTTGATTGACATGCTGAAGCTCGGCAGCCAGATATATTCAGTCACAGATCCCCTGTGATCTCTGAAACAAATATTTACCCACAGTAGCAAACTACGAAGAATGATGGTGAGATTCACCATTTAAATATCGGTTGGTATAGGCCTTTTTTCTATACATAGTATGACCAATAGTGTTATCAGGATTTCGGACGATCTAGGAAAGCTAAAGTATTATTTGCTTCTAACTCCATCGTGATTTGTATTTTGTAGCTTATGGAGTTAAGGTGGTCTAAAACTGCAGTTGCTTTGTCAGACGGTAAAATTTTGAAAGTGTCGTCTACGTACCGCTTGTAGAATCTTGGATTTATAGGAGCAGTAAGAAGGGTTTCTCCTCAAAATCCTCCATGATATATGTCGGCGACTATAGGAAATACAGGTGAGCCCATCGCTACACCATCAACTAGCTTGTAGAACTCTTCCTTCTACAATAGATAGTCAGATGTGAAGCAGTGTTTGAGTAATACTGCATATTCTGCAGGCATGTTGTTATCTTGTAGCTTCCTAGTTACAATTGAGAAGCAGTCTTCAATAAGTAGGCATGTGAATAGTGACTGACCACCAAAACTGACCATAGTTTCATTGTCAGCGAGATGTATGTCTTTTATCTCACTAACGAAATGGCGCGAATCCTTTGTGTGTGGTCCGATATGTCCTTTACGGTGGTAACAGTATTTTTGCTTAGTGTTGCACCTAAAAGTAGTATTATTAATTAAAGAACCATACGGTACGTGTTTCAAACTTGGATGTACTTAATAATAATAATAATAGGATATTACTGAAGTTCATGCAACACTAGAATAACATTAATCACACTATAACTTTCACTTGTTTTATGGTTTTTAAATAAACGGTTTATAAATCCGTTAAAAATAGTTTAATTTCGACGTGTAACATTCAATTCACAGTAACAGTAAATTCATTAAATATTAGAATATCACCACTAACCACTTAATGCTATTACTTATTGTGTAATTTTCACCATTGGTATTATACTTTTTTTTAAATGTAAAATTCCATACTAAAACTGGCAAGTATGGAGATAGTATAGCGGAATCCACAAGCCTTCTACGACTTTTCATAATATGAAGATTGTCTTCTGTGAAGTGTCTTGAGCATAGCACACTATTTTTGGTGGGCAACCATTGGTGCCCTCGACATGTAGCGTCGATCCACATCTTTTCCTTTCGGGGTATTTAGGAAACCTATAACATATAGGTACCACAATTATACGCCACTATTTGTATAAAATAATGACTACAAAAGAAAAGTAAACGATGACCAAACAAATATCGACTTATAAAATCACAACACTATCGATACACGTGCTGTCGTTAGACAAAGACAACTATTTTAATTTACGTAATGAGTGAAAGGGACATATTAAAAAGACATCAACGGGTGCTCAAATGATATCACTTTGCAACATTTAATATCCAGTGTAAGTTGAACTCCGGTGTATTTGAAATGTGTTAACGTGATAAGAATAAAATTTACTTACCGATGAAATATTATGCCATCTTTTTGATAACTGGATGTCTTAGCTGACTTGCCACACCATTTCACTGCACAGGAAGCCATTTGTAATGTATTTTGGATACAAAAATTATTTTTAAATTTTACTCGGACGTGCCTACGGGTCACAAACTTGGTCGACAATGATATCGTGATTCTTAGCGTCACTTCATATGCTAGCTACAGCAAGTATGAATTGCGCGCGTTTGTGGCCCTGTATGCGGAATCTATTAGGAGGTAATCTGTGGGTAGAGGAAAGGAACTATTTTTACCAAGTAATTGTTAATTCAAGCAACGAACGAAAAACATACTATTTCAACGAGAAACCCCTGTAATTTCGCGTTTTTTTTTTTTTGTAATACTCCTCTTAAAGAGGCCGGGAAGTAAGAGTATTGTCAGACTCCACTTTATCTTATCGCGTATCAGTTAGAGGTAATAAAACCACATACAATTGGCAAATAAAATTTTAACGGGAACAACTCGGTTTTGCTACATATTGCATAACTACATTTAAAAATTTAAATTAGCCTTTTTTCTTAATGACAATAATTTCACAGACATACATATTTTTTTGTATTTTCTTTTACTTAATCAAGCATTATCTACTCAATACAATATCACTTTTTTCATCAGTCCATAATAATATAGTAGTATAATCGCCACTCTTGACTTTGATTGTGCGATTACAGCAAGCAATATCACTAGTATACAAAACTTTAAAACTTAACCATTTTAATATATTTCGTTACGGTTACGAATTTTATCTTCTATTCTTTTCTTGGCTTCCAGAGTTTTCTTTATTAACAAATCTTCAATAGACTTCAACTGAAACAAAAAATGCATTTTTAATATCTTCATTTACTACGAATTAAGCCCAATATTAGTTAAGCTGACGTAGCAATAGACCACCCTTAGAAATGGAAGCTCGAATTAACGACAACCAATGGGAACAAAAGGTTTCGAGTAGCAACCTCATATTGATAAGCAAAATGTGGCGTACTTTAACTGGGAGAGCTTTAAAAATAAAACAGTCGTTTTTCTACGTGTTTATAACACCGAGGTCAACTCGGGGCTCCGCGCGTCTGACCTGGATGGAGTGATGACCATGTTTTGTGGCATTCCTAGAGGGAGAGGCAATGTTTGTCAGTGGACTTGTGAATGGTTAAGTAATTCTATGCGTTTAGTGGCATGCTATATCTGTAGCACCTTGAAGGGTTTGGTCCAAATAAAAAAAATCATAATACTAGTGTTTCCCACTTTTTACCGACTTCAAAAAAGTGATGGTATTCAATTCAATTGTTTATTTCTTTTGTGTTACCTCTGAACTTTTATCTGGGTAAACCAATTTCGATGATTCTTTTTTATCTGAAGGTGGGGTACTTCTCGTGTGGACCACACATATAAATTTAATCAAGATCTGACTAGTAGTTTTTGGGTTATCCTTAATAATGCGTATTTAATTGACTGTTGTTCTCATTTTAATTATATTGAAGTCGGTTGCATTTTTTTTATTTTACCACCCCAGCTATGAGCCCTTGCTTGCCCCTGCTGTTATTAAACAGTCGGGTTTGTCTGCCGAACTGGTTTTTATTTTTTGTTTAGATTTTATAATAAAGTATTACAAAAGGAAGTAAAATCGAGAGGTTTGACTACAGTGGGAACTATAAAGAAAAACAAGACAATGATACCGCCAGATTTTCTACCGAACAATACCAGATCAGAAAAGTCATCGTTTTACCAAAGACTGCATATTAGTTAGTCATGTTCCTAAGAAACGAAAAGCTCTGATTCTTTACTCAACGATGCATTACGATGATACAGTCAATCCCGAATCTCAAAAACCGGAAATAAATGAACATTATAACGCTACAAAAGGAGTACGCCGGAGTTGACGCAGTTGACCAATAATGCGCGGTGTATTCTTGTAGCCGTCGTACATTTCGCTGGCCTATGGCTATTTTCTTCCGTATTTTGGACATAACAGCTTGGTATAGCTTCGTTGTGTGTCGTGGTATTGCGGAAATGACACGCCTTGATTATTTGAAAGCATTAGCTAGTCAACTTAAGGAAAACAATCTCAAGACAAGGCTATACAATTCAATACTTCCCCGCCAGCTTCGCGTTATCTTTTCGGAAATAACTCAAATTGCTCTGCTGCCTATGGAAACCAATTAGGAACAAAAAATAGCCCGAAATGAAAGAAAAAACTGTCATCTCTGCCCCTGGCGTTTACGTAAGAAGACCGTGTACCTTTATCACAGCTGCTCGAAGCCAATTTGTCTGAACTACAGAAAGAAAATCTGTTTACAATCTCATCAAATCTGTTTGAAAGCAAATCAATAATCATTGCACGTTCCTTTTTATTCAAAGATACAAGTTATTTTTTTTTTGATTTATGCCATTCGAAATAGTAATGTTCAAAACTTTACAGTTTACCAAGAAGGTTATGATTTTTAGATCAGAACTTGACCCTTGTTATTTTTTCTAAGAATTTCCGTGATTCTGGTTAGTAGTTCTTAAAAAAGCTATGATTTTTAATGTAAAAAACCATTTGTTATTATAGCTTAAGAGTTATTTTAACAATAAAGCTGATTATAAGACTGCAAAACCGTTTCATTTCAATTTTAGAGTAAATTTTTATAGATTGAGATACAAATATTGAGTGAGTCCCTGAGACCACATGAGGTAAAATATGTACTAAAAAACCACCGGGTAAACTAAGGGTTAATGTTGCGCCTTTGACAAATTACGGTACATGCCGAGGCGGTGCGGCACAAAAGCGACTTTATCTAAGCGAATAGACTATACACCAAGAAAAATTTAACTAAAAAAACGCCTCAAAATAAAAAACAATGGCATAATAAGGCTTCAATCGCAGTAACGGTTTATAAAGAAAAAAGTAACAAAATTGCAAGAAATACTAGATTCGCTGACAGAGACATCTTTGATAAGTAAAGAAAACAAACAGGTCCTAGAAAAGACAAGACCTGAAGAAAGCGAACTTTTAAAGAGACAATTACTTAAAAGTAAGACTAGAAGCCCAGAACTAAATATTCCCCAGAGTTAAGATGTTTCGCCCTAACACTTAATAATTAACTAAATGGCTATCGCTATGTACGTAAACCCTTTGGAACATGTTTGCCTGCACCAAGGACATTGACCTAGCACTACAGTATCATCAATGACCGACCCGGGGTTTACTCAAGAAGTGCTAACGACATTTAAATTTAGATCGAATACCAACCCTGATAAAAAAATTGTTGTACCTTTGTCCCTCCTCTCGGGAGTTCCTTTTGAACTCGCCAACGAGGAGATCCTGGAGGACATTAAATCCCAGGGCTTCCCAGTCGAGGCTGTACACAAGATGCACAGCAGTAGGGGCAAGAGGTACCCGCATGCCCTTCCTATCCTGTCCAACGTGCCGGAGGCAAGAGACATTTCGACAAATACGCACCGTGTGCGGCCTGTCGAGAGTAAAGATCGAGTTTCCACATAGGCGCGGTTATCCGGCGCAGTGCCACCGCTGCCAACTTTACGGGCATGCGGCGGCCAACTGCTCAGCCCCACCCAGGTGCGTATAATAGAATACCTAGTGATTGTCATTATTTCAAATCTTTAAATTTTGATTGTTTTTTAAGTTTATAATTATTTGTTTGGCCGAAGGCCATTAAAATCTTTTTAAATAATCAATCTGTGTTTCTATTTGTTACACTAGATATTATATTATTTTATTTAAAATTGTAGCAAAATGAGCAATACTTCACAGAAGTTAACAGCCTTTTATAATTCGCCATTAAGCATCATCATCACCATCATAAGCATCCTATAAGAGTTCACGGCTGCTGCTTCTATTTAACGTCGTCTGACGTCTACATGGTTATTCAGCCATCTATCAGATGACGGCACTGTAGCGCAGTGGCTTAGTAATGAGTTGCAGCGCTGGAGGCCGCGAGTTCGAATCGCGCATGAAACAAGTATATGTATGGCTTACGAATAATTATTCCTGGTCTGTATGTTTGTCCTGTCCTGTCCTGTGATACAGGAGAAAATCCTAGTGTGGGGGTAATGTTTTTAACATAAAGAAAATAAAGGATGCCAAGAGATCTTATAAGCATAACCGATAATTCACTTTTACGACACAGCGAATTGAGATCATGGATTCTCTTAGGGCTATGCCACATGCTTTACTGTCAAACATAGGCTTTTTCAAAAGTACCAGCTGTCACTTGAGGATTTTCTAATACTTTCCACACTGAGCAGCTGAGATGGTAAACGCAGAGCCAGTACTCTCGTTCTAGTAGGGCTGCCTTATCACCAGCCTTTGAAATTTAGGTTCAGTGATTTTGAATATAATTTTCTCTATGAGTTTGTTGTGGGGAGGAATCGTCAAACTCTGCAGTTAGATTGACAATACCAGATGACTTACACTTTTCATGAATTGCCAGCTGGAATATTTTGTATGGCGTAAAGAGATCGAGCCATCTATCCAAAACCATAAAGTGGGGTGACTTCCTCTCTTACCAACTTATTTAACTATACCATATTGGCTGCGTTTGGCAGAAAAAAGCGCTAGGAAGCGCTTGTAAGCAAAATGGCGATCGTAAGCGGCAAGCGCTGTCAAATCGTTAGCAGCTATTTTCCTCTAGGACACGAAGTTAGTTTTAACCAGGGAACCTAACCTAATTTAAATATATGTTTGTAAAGTATTCATATTAAAAATTACCAATCATTAATTTTTAATAACATGTATATGTTTATTCATGTCATTATATTACTTGAAACTAATATTGCACAAAACAACTTTTAAACTCTACTTCAAAACAAACAAATTAAATAAGCAAAATGGCGGATTGTGTCAGCGCTACTGAAGTTAGCAAACGTGTCCTGGCCGAAAACTGTTTATTTTCGTCATTTTGCTTACAAGCGCTTCCTAGCGCTTTTTTCTGCCAAACGCAGCCATAAATTGCTGAAGATTCAAAAGAAAGAAGATTACTAAAATATTGATATAACAAGACGGCTACCTCCTCAGTCACACGCTTAGCATTGAATTGAGGCGCTAAGAGCCGCGGGTTCAAAGCGGGCCCTTCACAGTGCCACCGCTGCCAGGCCTTTGGTCACGCATCTACGAATTGCTTCAGGCCAGTGAAGTGTGTTCGCTGTGCCGGAGACCACATAGCCAGCAACTGCCCAAGAGGTAGAGATGAGGAACCGCGATGCGCTAACTGCGCCAAGAACCATACCGCCAACGATCGCCGCTGCCCAGTCCTGAGGAGGATTGCAAGGAAGCAGGGGATCACTCTACCGGGACTACTCCCAGAGGAGCCCAAGAGGATCCCCCAAAGTCGTCCCAGGGCCGTGGTCCAGGAAGACGGGTGGACGACAATCAGTGGAAGGGGAAGGCAACCTGCCCCCCCACCACCCGTCACGGCTCCCACAGAATCGGTGGTGCCCACCACTACTACATCAAAGGCAACCACCGGGACGACTCTTCAACCCCCCCGCTAATGACGCCACAGAGCGCCAAACCACCCAGTGGAGTAAGCGGGGGAGGAAGAAGAAGAAGAAGAAGGTGCAGCCTCCTCCTCAGGCAGCTACCTCTACCCCAACCCCAGCGGTAACGATAGCCCAGGCGCAGGTTACCAAGGAGGTCAAGAAAACCAGAATGGGTAGAGTGCCAGAAAGGGCTCTATCAGAAAATAGAGCCCGCTCTATACATAGAGCGCGCTCTACCCATACGCAAAGAGCACAAATCCAACTCACGAGACCAGCGCCAACTCCTGCACAGACACGCAGAACACCAACAGCCGGCTTCGAGACTGCAGACGCCATCCAACGTTTGGTTGGCATTGCAATTGAAGTCGGCAGCCAGGTCCTGGCAGACATCAGGGCCGGGACCGACCCCATCACAGCAGTCATGAAGGCGCTGGCGAACCTCCTGGCTCGGCACTATGGAGGAGTCTAACCTGCGCCTCCTCTACTGGAATCCAAGTGGAATCCAGCAGAAGCTACAAGAACTCTGCACCGTCGCCCAACAACAAGACGTACAGGTCATCTTGCTGGGAGAGACGAAACTTAACCCGAGTACACGCATAAAGCTGCCCAATTACCATCTGTATAGGAGGGACGAGGTCACTTCTCAAGGGGCCGCTTACAGAGGGACAGCGGTCCTAGTGAGAAGAGACATCGTCCATCAAGAACTAGACCTACCGGAATACCAGACTATGCGCTCTATCGGCATAAAAATGGAGGCGGCGGGCGAGGAACTTAGGATCTTTGCAGCATACCGCCCGCCAGGGACTCCATTTTGCTCCTCAGACGTCCGGACGGTAATGGAAGGCGAAACACCGACCATCATCGCCGGGGACCTAAACGCCAAACACCCGGCGTGGGAACCTAGACTGATCAACCCGCCGGGTCATGCACTATTTGAAGACGCCGAAAGATACGGCTATGACGTTTTAGGTCCTGAAGAACCTACACACATTCCTACGGATCCACGAAGTCGTCCGGATGTACTGGACATCGTGCTCGCTAGGAACATCAACTACCCGATAGTGGTAGAGGTGCTGTACGACCTGGAATCGCAGCACCTCCCGATCTTAATTACCCTTGGCTTAAAGGCGGTGACTACGCCGCCCAGAACAGTGAAGACACGTGTCGACTGGAGGCTCTACCACAAACACCTGCAGGAGAGACCTCCAGCACACCACCCCTTAAACACAGCGGACGACGTAGAGGCCGCAGCCACTAACATGACAAAGGCGATACAGGAGGCCCTCAATGCTGCCTCTACGATCGTCCCGATGTCCTCCAGAAGGGATGATCTGCCGCATAACATCTGCGTGCAGATCAAGAGAAAAAGGGCCTTAAGGAGACTCTGGGCGCGTACTCGCTGCCCGAGAATCAAAATGAGACTGAACACCTTGTCGGAGGAACTGTCGGTTGCAGTCCAGGCACACAGAGGAGATGCCTGGGAGCGGCGCATATGGAAGGCGGAAGAGCACGATGCGTCGCTCTACAAACTGAACCGGCAGTTAACTAAAGCCAAACCTCCCGTTTGCCCGCTGACCAATAACGCGGGCGAACGTCGTTACGATGCCAAGGGTAGAGCGGATATCCTAGTAGAGCACTTCGAGGAGCAATTTATACCGAACCCAGCAAGTGCGGAGTTCTTGGAGCTTCATGCCCAAAAGGAGAGTCGCGTACAGGAGTTCCTGTCGTCGCCCGCGCCGCCTCTTGCAGGAGAGTGGTTCATCTCCCCCGCTGAACTGCGGTGGACAGCAACCCGCCTGCAACCGAGGAAGGCGCCGGGGCACGACGGGATTACCAACGCTGCACTCCGACAGCTGCCCCATAGAGTCCTAGTAGAGCTTGGTCGACTCTACAACGGGATACTGCGGACATCCCACTTCCCGGAGGACTGGAAGAAAGGCAAAGTAATCGTCTTGCCGAAACCCGGGAAGGACAGGCGTAGAGCTGCCAGCTACAGGCCGATCACGCTGCTACCACACATAGCTAAACTGCTTGAAAGATTGTTGCTAAGACGCCTCCGCCCGTGCATCCAACTTCGGGCGGAGCAGCACGGATTCAGGAGGGGTCACTCTACAGCAACACAGCTGACCAGAGTGCTGCAGCTGCTTGCGGCTTACAACCGTGGCCGCACTACGTTGGGCGTCTTTCTCGATATCGAGAAGGCGTTCGACAGGGTGTGGCATTCTGGATTACTTTTTAAATTGGAAGAACAGACCAGTGTCCCTCCTGCTATGTTGCGGCTAGTGGCGTCTTTCCTGGCAGACAGGAAGTTCTACGTCTGCGTAGAGGGCGCCGAGTCCGCAACCAGAACCATCAGAGCCGGCGTTCCTCAGGGCAGCTGTTTGTCTCCAGTCCTGTATGCGGCTTATACCAACGATATCCCTACCCTGGCAGGCAGGCTGCAAGAATGGGAGGACGACGTGGAATTGGCGTTATATGCGGACGATAGCGCTTATTTCACCTCTTCCAGAAGAGCCCATATTGCCGCTGCCAGGATGCAACGCCTCCTGGACCTGTTGCCACCATGGCTAGATGAGTGGAGGATGGTCGTCAACGTTGGTAAGACGACCGCTCTGCTCACTCGCCGCCTCAGGAACCTACCACCTCAATTAACCCTCAATGGCCAGCAGATCGCGTACGAGAAGGCCGTGACCTACCTTGGGTGCCGGATCGACCGGGCGCTGCGCATGACTGCGCACGTCGACCTCGTCGTCCGTAGAGCACGATGTGCGCGGGCGATGCTACGTCCGGTCCTGGCATCCAAGCTACCACTTAACACCAAAGTGCGAGTATATAAAACCTACATCAGAGCCATTATCACCTATGCTGCTCCGGCCTGGTACGCGCTTCTGAGCGAGCCTCTGAGGCGGCGACTGCAGGCCCAGCAAAATATGGCGTTAAGAACCATCGTCGGTGCGGGTCGCTACGTCCGGAATGACGTCATAGCGGCCAACCTGAAGATCGACACCATACAGGAATTTGTGGCCCGGTTGGCGCGCGGACTGTTCGACCGAGCAGACAACGGGCCGCATATACACCTTAACAACTTTGCGCCGCTACACACTCGCCCTCCGGACGGGCGACCCTATCCAAGAGAACTCCTCTCTATATCGATTAGAGAGTCGAGTAACAACCCTCAATGCCGCTGAAAGGCCAACCCCGACCTCATTAGATAACCTCCTTTTTTCGTAGTCATAACCGACTACGAAAAAATTACCGATAGCGACAAACGTTTTGACACCTACAACGCCATTAGAAGGCTCCCAGGACCGGTCCATAGTAGTGGACCGCGAGGACAACACGGGTAATGGGGGCTTACCCCGAAGCCCGAAACCTCCATGTGCCTAAAAGACACATGAAGAAGACATCAACGCGGGTTCAAATCACGCACGGAACAAGTACGTGGAGTATGGATTTTTATCCTGGTGCAATTTATGTATGTAAACCTCCACAACGTCAAACCTATAGTTAATTTGGGGATGATGTTTAAAAAAAGAAAATAATTGGTGTGTCACAACTTACACTACTGCTGAAGTCGTTTTTAATTCTTGCGAGTTCTTCCATTCCCTCAGCTTTCTCCTCTTCATATTTGGTGGTAAGGTGTTTGATTTCTTGTATGCGCTGAGTTATTTTCTTTGCACTTTCAACATTTTTTCTTTTCTTCTCTTCTGCCTCTTGTAGGTTTCTATTTACAGAATAACAATTTAGTAAATAGATACATAGCCACGTAAATCTATTATTGTATCTAGTTTACACTTTTTTTTACAAGACTAAAGTGAGAAACGAACTTACAGTGCACCTGTTGGTAAATGACCACTGCAATTCATGTAAATGGACACCTGCAGCCAACTTTAAACAAAGATGCACTGTCATCTCTGAAGATTAAAGCGTGGCGTCGACTACAGCAGAAAGGCATCGAATCGAAGCGAGTCGCATTTATTATTCCTAGTGCGTCCATCTCTGAAGAATTGAATCGAATTGTTCATTCATTGCAAACTCTTCATCAAATTAGGTTGTTTTTGCTTCATGGACAGCTCGGATAAAGAGATGTTTGTATTATAAGTAATTTTTAATAAAGAAGAGGACAATAGAAAAAGGAAACAGCGTGCTTCCAAATACTGGACGCACGACGTTTAATATGAAAAGAAGTAACTATGGCGAATTTCATTATTTATATTCAGATTTAAGAAGGGATCCTGTTAATTTTTTTCTATAATTTCTTTTATCCCATGAAAAATTTCATGTTTTGCTAGACTTACTTGGACTGTGCAAAGAAACTACAAGATTCAGGAGGCCCATTCCACCGGAAAAACGACTCGCTGTTTGCCTTAGGTAAGTTTTTAAATTTATATTTTTATGTTCTACAACTTTTAACATCATGGAAAATCTTATTTTATTCGACTGTAAGGTGCTTGCCTTCTCTCAGAAAAAGAGGGGCATTTTTATTTAAACAAAAAGGTTTTTATGAAAACGAAATAAAAATATAAAAAAAATTGTTGGCGCGCATCCACTTCTCTGCGTCGGCTGAGGCGCGCCAAGTTGAATCCAATCGCGTCGGCGAAGAAATTCGCCTGTTAAGCAATTCGCGCGGTCGATTCAATTCGGCCTTCGGATTAAGGGATTCGCGGCTCGTCGCTAATGGACGCAGTTTCATATTATATATTATACAGGTTGTTAGTTTAACTACCGTTATCCTTGAAATCAGTGGTTTGTTTTCACTTATAGAACGTAAATTCAATGAAAAATAACATTTCTTTAGTAAAATCTCAATTTGTCCTTAATTCCTCAATTTTTGCCTGTCTTAAGCCAGGATGAAAGTATGAGGGAAAAGTTACATTACAGGTTATGTGTACCTATTGTGTTTTTATTAGAATGTTTTGTAGGTAGCTAGCATGGGCGGTGATCTTTACAGTGATTACGTTACTCGGGCACATAGGGTATGCATGAATTTACGGACAGTATCGGACAGAAACTTTTTGAAAGAAAATAGCGTTTTTTTAAAAATTCGGATAAATATTTTTATATTAAAGCCAACTACCTATGGTTTTAGTGACAACGGTGTTTACACTTACACCTTGTATAAGAGGCGACTTTCTGCGATTCGATTCGAGTCAGCTCGGCAAGCCTAGTGGACGCGGGCCTTAAGATGGAATGCCTCACAGCTTGTAATAATACTGGCTCTCTTTACCCTTTAGATCACTGCTATTTGGCAGCAGTAACAGGTTAGAGAGTAGGTACCCTAACCAGGATTTATAGGCGGAAAAGGATTTCGACCACACAATAAATTAATATACTATATAATTGATAGAATCAGGCGTTACTTTGCGGAAATCCATTACAATAAAGACATTAATTAATTCGCAACTATCTGCATAAAAATACAATTGTGTCTTACCTGGATTGAAGAGCACCTCCCGCCCTCCCTCAACTGCGTGCACTAATCCCGTCACAACTAATTCCAGCACCACTAGTGAAGTCTTAGCGGTCAGCCGCCATAGAGTCTACATAACCTGAAGATGCCTCGTGTAGAGGCGAAACACGTGTCGTGTTGTCGTCGATGGTGTGTCTTTCCTGGAATAGTGGTGTTGGGAGTAGTGGTGCCGGGAATAGTGGTGTTAGGAGTAGTGGTGTTGGGAGTAGTGGTGCTGGGATTAGTGGTGACAGGATTGGTGCACGCAATTGAGGGAGGGTGGGAGGTGCTCTTCAATCCAGGTAAGACACATCATTGTATTTTTATGCGGATAGTTGCGAATTAATTAATGTCTTTATTGTAATATACTATATATTTGAGAGCTCAGTGCTTAACTAATCTAACTAAAACATTCCCATTTGGTGATAACAGGTGAACAAGCTCTACAAGGTAAATCGTACCATCTTAGCATAACAAAAAGCCTTATTCACTCTTGCCTTAAAGTTCTATTTTCTCTGAATATATTACGCTCCAGATTGTAATAGGACGGAAATACAAAAGCCGGCAAATTATTCCACCCTTCTGATGTACGTAACGCAAGACGATGCAAACCATTACGTTCGAATGCGTCGAATATCGAACACAAAGGGATGAAGACATCTGACCGTTTATTTAGAACAATTAGGATACATATTTTTATATATTCATTATTGTCTGTTAATTATCAATAATTGATTAAAACAATATTAATTAGTTGATCATATACCTATTTAATTGCCAGTCCTTGGTTGGAGTCTCGGACAATATTTGTGAAAAACGCACATTAATGATTTTTGGATATATGTGATTGACCAAATTACTTATCATGACCGCCATGTTTATCTAGTGGTCGTAAACCCTACTGATGATCGTGTGGTCCCAGGTTCGAGTCACAGGTCAAGCCAAAATCAGTTATTAGGTTTTACTGTAAAGTAGTTCTTAATAGCAGGCCAGAGTCAGGAAGTTGGGTTGTTTCCATACCTTGGTAGGCAGTCTCAGCCTGGTCTCTCTCTCTAGTCATGTCAGATTGCTATCCCATCAGACAATGAAAGTGACTGAAAGGAGAGTGCACCTGTTCTCTAGCACGCACACTCATGCACTATAATCCTGTTCCAAACAGCAAGCTTACTCTTGAATCCATCAATCAATTAATTTCAATGTTGACAAATTACTGTACTCTTGAAAAAAATTTTTGTTAATATTGGATTGAAATCGGAATTACGCTCGTATAGGCCAAAAATTATGTCGTAACACATGAAGTTAGCTATGTTACTCTTAGCAACAAGCATGTTTTATTTATCGTTAAAACGGTGAAGTCATAATAATACCTTTGTAACTTTCACAAACGAGCATTTAAATGGTAAAAATATTTAGTAAATGGTATAATTCGTCAAACATAACATCTTTTCATACAATTTATATAAAAAACGCTATATTTGCGAGTTTTAAATAATTATAAGGCTGTATAGGTGCGTGGCTTTGCCTCATTCCTTTTGTTGTCAGAAAAAATTGTTATCATGATCATGAAACCAAATAAACAAAGATCAACTTTCGAAGAATTCTTTTTAAGTGTAAAGGTGAAGTGCTTTTCAAGTATGTGTGCTGTGAATTACTAATAGACCTTTTGATTTGGGTATAACTATAAGCATAAGCAGTTAGAAAAATTCATTACCGCAATAACACGGCTTGCTGTTCAATTTTCAAGCACAATTAAGCATCATATGAAACACAGGAATAGGGCATCCATCAGTCAGCGAATTAGAAGGAACAAAATAAATAATAATGGTCAAGGCTAGGCCAAAGTTTAACAATGTTTTTTAAGAATATTATATGTAGATATGTTTTTAATTCGGGCACAGAAAAAAAGCAATTTCTGGCCTGTTAAACATTAGACTAGGTATTGATAGCAGTCACAGGTGGTCAAAAGTGTTGCTTTTAGAGACTCAACTTACAATTAACCTTTCTCACTACTTAGTTATTACAAATATCAATGTTATGATTCATTAACTTCTCAATATTTTTGTGGCGACAACTAATAATAAAAATAACTATTTTTTACTCAGTTTTAAATACAGACTTTTTAATATTATTTTATATTTCTAGGAATATCTAATGTAAAGGACACTCCTAAGGAACTTGCAAAATGAACGCCTTTACACTCAAGTGGTAAAAAGGTAACCCATCGTTTTTCTATAACTAAGATTAAATATTAGATAACATAAATTGACGTCATACGTGTTATCTCTTTAGTGTAGAGAATATAGATGTTTCAATAAATCTTAAACATTACATTACATTTTACAAAGATTTCTTATATTTACGCGAACACTACACATTTAAACAATACTAGTATTTACGGATTTTATCGCGTATATTAACTTGTTTTATACACCCGACGTTTCGACTACTTTACAGCACCCATGGTCACGGGGTCACAGGGGGACTGAGATGTTTTACGTCCAGATGTCATGGTTAATCGCGGTTACCACAGATTAAAATTTTAATTTTTGTTCTGATCTACACAGTATGAGTTTATATAGTTCATAAAAGGTAGCTTGATCTCTGCGACAGCTGTCAGTAAAAATCACGCCTATGAAGTCCTGAATTTCTTAGTAGTACAGACAGTACCTGTTAATGTCATACTTTATGGGCATGCCGACCTAATTAGTGCATAGGTTACTGTCTGTACTACTAAGAAATTCAGGACTTCATAGGCGTGATTTTTACTGACAGCTTTCGCAGAGATCAAGCTATCTTTTATGACCATAGTATCTTGAAGTCTTGCAGTTGTATGCTTGGGTTGGGATTTCATTTTATTAATTATAGGATCCCAAGCAGATGGTTGCGCCCAGCCACCTTCTCTATTAAAATTAGAATGTTTTTTGATTTCAATAGCCTCGCAAATCAACCTTGGAAGAAATCTGTGTTCTTTAGCGAGGATTTGTGGTCTATCAAATGTGATGTAATGACGGGGGCGATCCTGTACATGTTCACAGACTGCAGACTTCACGGAGCGTCGATTCTTCACATCAGCTACATGTTCTTTAACGCGGGTTCTAATTGATCTTTTAGTTTGCCCTATGTAAGAGAGACCACATTCACAATCAAGCTTGTACACTCCTGCATCTTGTAGAGGGATTAAAATTACGTTAGCTATATAATTTTATTTTCAATTCTTATAAAATTATACATTAGTGTAACAACATTATATTCATATTTTCTTTACGTGTGAAACTTGCCAATAAACCTCTCAGACATGAGAAAGACTGCCCAACAGTGGGATGCTTTAGATCATACTTGAGATATCCTCCTCTTTAAACCGCCTAACTATTTAAACCATTTCTTCTACCAAACACCCACTTTAAAATTAATTAAAATAAAGGCTAGGTAGACTCTACGGCGGCTGACCGCTAACTTACATCACCTGAGGATGCCTCGTGTAGAGGCGAAACACGTGTCGTATTGTCGTCGATGGTGTGTCTTTGGCCTTCGATTATGTAGATCATAATCTACTACTTAGCAAATTATACATCTATGGAGTTAGGGGAAATGTGCTAGTCTAATGAAATCTTATTTAAAAGACAGAAAACAAACAACACAAATTACCCGAATAGATATCAAGTCGAAAATCGAAAAAATATACTCTTCTGATACACAATTGATTAAATACGGAGTTCCTCAAGGTGGAGTACTTGCCCCTCTCCTTTTTATCATTTATATAATTAACTTTCCAAATTGTACAAGACACCAAATGTCGTTATTTGCCGATGACAGCACTGTAATTTACAACAGTAATAACTATGATGAAATAGAACGTGAAATTAATAAGAGTCTTATATCAATTATTGACTGGTTGAAAGAAAACAACCTAAAAATTAATCTGGATAAAACGAAAATAATGACATTTCAAATTAAAAAAAAACACCTCAATAAATCTACACATCAAATATATGGGTCAAGACGTAAAAGAAACAAGTTAAAAAAATTTGGGACTACTTATAGACAATGATATGTCGTGGAAAACTCAAATTGATTATATTTGTAAAAAATTGCACCAATTAGCATACGTTCTTTATATGTTGGGAAAAATTGCAAACCAGAGAGCACTATTAGCAGCGTACCATGGCTATGTCGCCTCAATCCTGAGATATGGCGTTATATTTTGGGGAAATGCACCTAACATTCGCGAAGTATTCATCGCACAAAAAAATGTCTACGTGCGATCTGTAGTTTAAAAAGCACAAACACATGCAAGCCGCATTTTCAAAATTTAAAAGTTCTAACATTTCCCTCATTATATATTTATGAAACAAGCATTTTTGTAAAACGTAATATTAACATGTATAAGTTCGTGGAAAGTCAACGTCGCACAGATAAGCTTCATTTAGTATCAAGTAGAACTGTTTTATTACAGAAGAGTTTATATGCAATGGCACCAAAAGTATATAACAAAATACCTAAATACATTAGAGATTGTGACAACATTAATATTTATAAACGTAAACTTTATGATCTACTAAATGAAAAAGCATATTATTCTTTAGAGGAATTCCTTAGCGACACATTTTAACATTACAATACTACATTGAATATATACCTATCATGACATGTGCCAATGAATACTAGATGACAATTAGACAAAATGATGATAATTATTATATGTTATATTATACTATACCTTTATTATGTTTAAAATTTTCTTATATTAATACATTATTTCAATTAAAAACTGACATCAGAAGAGAAGAAAAATTATTAAGCAATTATTATTTTATATTTTGTATGCCTACTGGCGAGACATAGAGAACCTACCTTGTATTTTACTATGACATATATTGAGATCTGTAAAATAACCGAGGTTCACAAAATAAACTGATTTGATTTAATTTGATCTTTCCTGTAATATTGGTGTTGGGAGTAGTGGTGCTGGTATTAGTGGTGACGGGATTGGTGCATGTAATTGAGGGAGGGCGGGAGGTGCTCTTCAATCCAGGTAATATACATCATTGTATTTAGTTAGCAGAAGGTTGCAAATTAATTAATATCTTTATTATAATGGATTTCCGCAAAGTAACGTCTGATTCTATCAATATTATTTTAATAATACTCACGTTTTCGCCAGCATGTTTTCTTGTTGCATTCTCGCTAGATTCTCTTGCCTCTTTTTAGCTTTTTCTGCTCTAGCAGCTCTCAAGTCCGCCAGTTGAGCCTCCAGCTCACTTGCTTCTGTTTTATAAACTTCCAACTCACCATCTTGACTGTCTGATTCTAAATCATTAGAATCATTGTCTCTGTAAATTAAATAAAACGAAATGAATGTTTCTGTCACTATTCACCACAGTGCATCAAGTTTTGTGTGTTTTAAAGGGCATGGAGAGCCAGACCCACAGGGTTTCTTGCTGATTCTTCTCAGGATAGAAGTTTTTCCGAAACAGTAAATATGACTGTCCGTAAAAATTACTTATAATATATATTAAATATAAATCACTGTATTTTATTCTATCTTAGAACTCAATAATTTTAACGCATCCATAGCCAAATGTTTGTTGTCTATGGGTGGGCGCACTAACCATCAGGAAGAATGTTAAATCAATTTTACTTTTCCTCAGTTTATCCCCATTCATATAGAAAACATCTACATTAACGATAACTATTAAAAAATGTGCTGTTTTCGACAGTCATTACGAATCGTCTCGCACGCAGACTCGACGACTTCCCGCCCCCAGAACCAGCCGGTTTCCGAAAAGGCTTTATTACCATAAACCACATACATATCCGAAACCGAAGAGTACAATCTGCCACTTTCCGTGGCATAAGTGGACGGAATCAAAGGCTTTCTCACGCCTTAGATTCCGTCGAAATTTGGGCGGTGATAAAATCCCTTAAGCGGTGCAAAGTTGACTGACGGTATATCGAAGTGCTGAAGTGTTTGTAAAGTAGAGCTACGATGGTTATCAGAGTACAGAACCAGAGTACGTTGGAAGTCGTTTTCAAGCTACTGAACGGTATTAACATCAATGGCGAGTACATCACTCACCTTCGATTTGCCGAGGATATAGTCCTTATAGCAGAATCACTGGAGGACCTAAGTACTATGCTCGATGACCTCAATAGTACCCCCTAACGGATAGGTCTTAAGATGAACATGGACAAAACAAAAATCTTGTGTAACATCCATGTCACACCTATGCCAGTAGTTGTTGGGAGCACTAAGCTCGAAGTTGTTGACGAGTATGTTTACCTGAGACAAATAGTCCGTCTAGGCTTAAGTTCTAACTTCGGCCAAGTGGTCGATCGACTTATTCAACTCGGCTGAGCAGCGTTCTCGGGAAATTACGACACATTTTCTCTTCAGCTATACCACAAAACCTCAAAACGAAACTGTACAACCAGTGCGTGTTGCCAGTGATGACCTAAGGAACTGAGACATGGTCCTTCACTGCTGGCCGTATGAGGACGCTCAAGGTCGCTCAGAGACCTATGGAGAGGGCTATGCTCGGGGTTTCATGCCAGAGTGACTGACATAGCCCAATGGATTAGTAAGCTGAAGTGGCAACGGTCCTGCCTTATAGCTCGAAGTACTGACAACCGATGGGATAAAATATATTCTCAAGTGGCAGCCTCGTACCGGTAGGCGAAGTGTAAGGCGACCCCCCACTAGATGGAGTGACGACCTGGACCCGGACATGCAGGAAGTAAATGGATGCAGGTGGCTCAGGACCGTGCTTTTTGGCATTGATGATGATGAACAAAATCTCTTATAGTACGACTTAGGGACCTTCAAGAAAAGAGCTTATCTAAAAGGCCGGCAACGCACCTGCAGTACCCCTGGTGTTGCGTTTGTCAATGGCGGCGGTAGTCACTTACCACAAGGTGAGCCGCATACTCGTTTGCCTCCTCTTCTTATAGTAATCTAGCTCCACTCCCTCATCGAGAAGGACAGTAGTGTGCGAAAGAGTTCCTGCAGCCGGACTAAGGGCGAACAGATGAGCACCATGGAGTTTTAGCGGGTAAGAATTGGGCATAACCTGTTAATTGTACCCACAATAAATGGGTACCTATCAGGATTTAACCAATTTAAAAAAAAAACTAAATTTAAAAAATTCATAAAATAAATCTTACTTCATACTTTCAGAAAGCTTTATAATCTCATACAACAAATTACTTCCTGTATCCATGTGAGGTTTGATTGCATGCAAATTTTTTAAGCGGTTTTCTTTATTCATGAGTGTTGCTTTAAGAGAGCTTAACTTCTGTTCTGCTTCTTGATTATTCTGTGCTGCTTGCTCTACCTGGGCTTTAATATCATCTGCATCATAAACTCTTTGGGCTCTCTTATTCTCTACTTCCGCTATGAGACAATCTCTGAGTGTTTTCTTTTTCTCTAATAATATTTCCGTTTGTTTGTCCTCATTTAGAATAACATCTAACTTTTTCCTTTCTTCCTCATGAGCTTCTTTTTCATGTTTTAGTTCTTCTTCAAAATGTTTTATCTCAGTGTCTAGCTGTGGATTAGAAATTTTATTGTTAGAGCACTCAAGTCTGTTTTAGCTAAGCCTATTTAAGATTCATCATTATGACCAAATTATTAGCCGCCCGCAGAATGTTTGCCAATGACCACTCCTCTAGCCTCAGTCGACCACATCACGCGGTCGCCGAGTCAGTACCGACAGCGCAGTCGTGCGCTCACGTCTTTGAATTTATTGCTCTCACTCCGAAAAAATTCATTATTTTTCTGTCAAGTTTTTTTTTTGTTTTATATTAGTGTTATTTTTTTTATCAAAATGAATGAAGGGATAGCCTTTCGTGTGGTGGCGAACGTGTTATTATTTTAAAGGTTTGTTTGTAAATGGAACATATTTGAAAAAAGCAAATTGTTTTTGTTGACGTAAATTGTCATTAGTAAATAAAAGGGCACTTCTCAATTTTCACATCATACAAGACGTTTTATTTCTATATTTTTATTATTTAAACATGGTCCTTCGAGCCGGATTTTTACTGCTGAAAACTGCAAGGAACTGCACCGCGGAAATATATCGTAAAATCATTCGAGTTCAACAAGAATTGAATCTGTTTTTAAAGAAATACCGGCGGAAGCAGCAAAGCATTTTCAAGGCAGCAATTAGCGGAAAATGAAAATCTTTATGGTATATATGTTAATGTATGATGTGTTTGTCGGAGCAAAAGCATCGGATGACTATATGTAATGGTAGCAGTAGCTTCGTTTGTCGGCGTTTGAATACCGTGACATGAAGTGGAGCCTACTGCTGGTTAAAGTGTGGTTCTATAACAGAGTTGGACTAACTATTTGGTATTTAATGTGCAAAATACAATAGAAACTTTCTGCAATTTAATAATTTGTAGCGATAGTGTCTTTTCTCGTGTCTCAAGGTTCTACCTACTATGTTGTGTATGCATAAGTAACCTACTTAACATATTTTTATAGCCTCTGTTTGCGTTTCAATTTGTTAAGATGGAGGACGCAATAACAAAACTAATCAACAGAAGAAAGTAGTCAACAGTAGAAAAGAAAAAGGTAGGTTAACAAATATTCAAAATCAACTAGCAGAGGTAAGTGTTTCCGAGCAGCCTCTGAAACTGTTGGATCAGCAAAAGAAATCTTTAAAACTTTAGAACCAATAATGATGGAAATCGAGGAGCTGGATAGTATGCAAGAATCAAAACATATGTCTGGAGAAAAAAAAATATTTTGATATTCTCAAGAAGATAGAAGACATAAGGATTCTGGAATCAACAAAAAAAAAAGGTAAGTCGCACACGTTTTATAATTTACCAAAAGTTTCTCTGTCTTGTTTTGATGGAAATCACAACAATTGGTTAAAATTTTAAAGATGTTTGAAAGTTTTGTGCACAACAACACAGACTTATCCGACGTTCAAAAATTGTATTAATTAAAATGTAGTATTAAGGGTGACAGGCTGGAATATTATAGGATTATCCGATGTCTGAAGAGAGAGGGAGGACGCGATGATTCTCGAATCCGGCAACTTGTTCTATCACCGGGAGGGCGACCATCTGTCCCAAGGAGGTGTTGGGTTTATCGTTCACAAGTCTCTCGTTAACAACGTTGTAAAGATTGGGAGTGTGTCGATGAGGGTTGCGTACCTTATACTCAGAATCACCAGACGGTATTCGCTGAAGGTCATACAGGTTTACGCACCAACGTCGGAACATCCCGATGATGAGGTGGAGGAAGTGTATGAGGATATTTCTAGAGCCATACATTCTTCCAAAACTCACTATACGGTGTTAATAGGAGACTTCAACGCAAAACTAGGCACACGAAAGAATGGTGAGGTGAATGTAGGGAAATTTGGGATAGGGCAACAGAACCTAAGAAGCCAGCAGCTGGCCGACTTCATGGAGAAAGAGGGACTCTTTATGATGAACTCTTTCTTCCAGCAGCGACCGACAAAAAATGAGAATGACTTCATTATGACGACTAGACGGCAACTGTTCAGTGATGTCTCAGTGATCGCAAGGGTGGAGAGGTCTCGTCCATTGAGGTCAACGCTCCGTCCCCCTCATGCTCTAATCCAAAATCCCGAAACCTTTAAGCTCGAGTTACAAAACCGCTTTCAGTGCCTAGAAGATTGCAATGCAGTGGACGATGTGAATGACAAGCTCGTGGACACTGTCCATACGGTCGGAGCTAAGTTCTGCAAGACCCGCCGCAGAAGGACACAAAAACTCTCCGATAACACTTCTTAATCTCATGGCTGTTAGACGGGAGATGAAGCTGCTGTTGTCAGCAGATTTAACAGCATACATGCAACTGAACAGACAGATCTCCAAATGCATACGCCAGGACTTACGCAACTTCAATACAGCTCGTATTGAAAAAACGATTTAGCGGAACCAGGGCTCCAAAGTCTTTGCCATAGATCTGTTTGCCAGGAAGAGCCAACTGCAAAAGCTGAAGACTGAGTGTGGCATCATCGTTTCCGGGACACCTGAGATTTTGAGTGAGATTGAGAGGTTCTACGGGCAGCTGTACACATCATCGTTGGAGCCACAGGCAAGTGTGAGTAACGATCTAAGAGCAAGTCTTATCAGACACTATTGATGATATCGTGGACGTCAGTCTGAGCGAGATTAGAATGGCTCTCCAGCACCTTAAAAACGGCATGGCCCCATGCGAGGATGGAATTACAGCGGAGCTGAAAGCAGGTGGAACACCAGAACTAAAATCATTCAGAAGCTCTTCAATTCCGTCCTCCATGGTGGCACTACTCCGGAGGCGTGGAGCGGAAGTACTGTGGTCTTGTTCTTCAAGAAAAGTGACAACGCTCTCTTGAAGAACTACAAATCAATTTCCTTTCTAATCCACGTCTACGTGCTGTTTTCGAAAGTCATTACGAATCATATCGCACGCAGACTCGACGACTTCTAGCTTCCCGAACAAACCGGTTTCCGAAAAGACTTCAGTACCATAGACCACATACATACCCTGCGGCAGATTGTACAGAAGACAGAAGAGTACAATCTGTCACATTGCCTGGCGTATGTGGACTATGAGAAAGCCTTTGATTCCGTCGAAATTTGGGCGGTGCTACGGTGTACGGTGTTTGTACAGTAGGGCTACGATGGCTACCCGAGTACAGAACCAGAGTTCGAAATCTATCCAATTGCAGAGAGGTGTAAAACAGGGTGACGTTATATCCCCGAAACTCTTCACCGCTGCATTGGAAGACGTTTTCAAGCTACTGGACTCGAAAGGATACGTTATTAACATGAATGGCGAGTACATCACTCATCTTCGATTTGCCGACGATATAGTCCTTATGGCAGAATCGCTGGAGGACCTAAGCATGCTCAATAACCTTAATGGTGTCTCCCAACGGATAGGTCTTAAGATGAACATGGACAAAACAAAGATCATGTTTAATGTCCATGTCACACCTATGCCGGTAGTTGTTGGGAGCACTATGCTCGAAGTTGTTGACGAATATGTTTACTTGGGACAAATAGTCCGACTAGGTAAGTCCAACTTCGACCGAGAGGTCAATCGACGGATTCAACTCGGCTGGGCAGCGTTCGGAAAATTACGACACATCTTCTCGTCAGGTATACCTCAAACTCTGAAAACTAGATTGTACAACCAGTGCGTGTTGCCAGTGATGACTTACGGATCTGAGACGTGGTCCTTCACTGCTGGCCGTATGAGGACGCTCAAGGTCACTCTTTTCACTTATGGAGAGGGCTATGATCGGGGTTTCTCTGCGTGAATGAGAATATTCGCAGTCGAACCAATAGCCCAGCGGATTAGTGAGCTGAAGTGGCAATGGACCGGCCATATAGCTCGAAGAACCGATAACCGAGGAGGAAAAAAGGTTCTCGAGTGGCAGCCTCGTACCGGTATGCGTAGTGTAGGGCAACCCCCCACTTGATGGAGTGACGACCTGGTAAGACAGGCAGGAAGTCGATGGATGCAGGTGGCTCAGGATCGTGCTTTGTGGCATTACTTGGGGGAGGCCTATGTTCAGCAGTGGACTTGTGAAAGGCTGTAATGATGATGATGATGTGTCGGTGATAATTACGTCTAAGCATGGAATTCTTTATTAGAGAGATATAATAACAAGATTTTAATGGCAAATCATCACATAGCTGCCATATGCAGTTTGAACAAATTGACAAAATGCAACAACCAAAACTTGAGACTGTTATTAAGTGATTTTCAGCAACACTACAACTCCATCTCATCTCTGAAATTAGGAAACCTATGCGACGTAATACTTATGCATGTTCTATCTCATAAATTGGATTTCAAAAGTCTACGTGACTTCGAATCACAGTGAGATGGGAAAACCAATCCAACGCTCGATGAATTCGTTACATACCTACAGCATCGCTGTCAGGCTCTAGAGATGATCGCTCCAGATATTACGCCGACTCGTTCTCCTGTAACAAGTCAGAGAGTAACAGCCCACGCCAGTACTGCTGCACCTGAGAAAAAGAAGGTGAAGTGTTCAATTTGTAATAAGTGTCACTTCACAAGTAAGTGCTTCATGTACAAAATAATGTCTGTTGATGAAAGATGGCATACTATAGTCTCTGAATCTTTGTTCTTTGTGTTTAAGTCCAAATCATAATAAAATTCAACTGTAATAAAATTTTAAATGTGGGAAATGTAATGGAGAACATCATACCACATTGCATGTGCCGACTACCCAAAATTGTATGACGCGCATTTCAGGAGGTGAGTCTCGTGCTGCCTCTCAAAGTGCACACAAAGACACACCGTTGTCGAAAAATGTCCAGTGCTCGTCTAGCAGTCAGCACCGCTCAGAGCCAGAGGTATCTCTCAACATGTTGTCAAATGTCCGCTGTAATAAATATCCATGATGCGCAAGGACGGACTCACGAGGCTCGCGTTTTGTTGGACATAGGTAGTATGAGCAATTATGTTTCCACAAACTTTGTAAAGAAATTAGGTGTCACAACATCCACTGTACATATAACTGTGTCCGGCATAGAATACTAT